CCGGTGCCCGTCCCGGCGCCCGTGCAGGCGCCCACCCCCAAGCCCGCGCCCGCGGCGGCGCCTGCCGCACAGCCCGCCGCAGCGGCCGCGCCCGCAGCGCGCGGCGGGCCCGCCGGCGCGGGCGCGGCGGCGCCTGCGTCGAAGCTTCCGGTCCCGGGGGAGGTGCAGGCGGAGTGCAAGAAGCTCTCCCTTGACACAGCCTTTGACAACTCCATTGAGGACGTTTCGCAGTTTGCAAAGGACATGAAAGAGGATGTCGTCATCAAATTCGCGGCCGACCTGACGGCCCGCAAGGAGGCCGTCCGCGCGGCGTTCAAGGCGGCGCTCAAGGGCGTGGCGCCGGGCGACAAGAAGGCGCTGGAGAAGGCGATCGTGGGCGCGGTGGCGGCGGTGGTGCCGAGCGCGAAGGGCGGCGCGGTGCGGCTGGACGGGCGGGACGTTGGGTTTGCGAATCTAATGTGGGAGTCTCTCAGCACGGAGACCTACGTGCAGGACTGCTTTTGAACGGTCACAATTGCGGCCGGCGGCGGGCGACGGCAACGAAGGCGCGCCCGCGGCAGCCGCCTGCTTTGGCGTGGTGGGCTGAGGCGGCCCTGGTGCTCTTGAGAGCTTTCCCTGATCGGGGCTCGGCGTACATTCCTGTGGCGGGGCGGGTGGGGCGCCACCCTCACCCGACCCGGTGCAAAGCGCACCGGGCCCATCGCACCAATCCTGTGATTGGCCGTGCGACTACTGTGATTTGTGACTGCTAGGTACCCGGATGGTCGCCAGGCTGTACCCCACAGCATGCCTATATCATTGATTTTTTCTCGGGCTGCACATATCAGCCGAGGCTGCTCCGGCAGCCTCGGCCGAGGCCACATGTATGTGACGCCATTCTCGTCAGCAGCCTATCAGGAACCCGTGTGCGTCTCATGTTCACCTGGAATTGTTTGAGAGCTGCGCCCGCCAAAGCACCTGTGTGCCAGCGCGCTGCCTCAAGCTGAGATGCCCTCTGTATGCCGCCATTCTGCCACCCGGGCTTGCTTTGCGCCCGGGGTTTGTTGGGCCCCTCGCACCCCATGCAAAGCCCGGGGCATTTATTCAGGCCGTGCCCTGCCGCTGGCGTGCTGGCGGGGTGCCTGGCAAGGCCTTGGGCTGCACCGACGGCGCCAACGCCAGCCCCGCAAACAATACGTGCCACACCAGCATTTCAAATGCAAGCGTACGCATTTACAAGGAACTATCCTGGCTTTGACAGACGCCCAAACCGCCAAGAACTGTGTAAGCTCAATCTCACGCCCATATGTGCACTTGTTGAAAAACAACATTGCTGCTGCCATACCGCGACGCGCATTGGTTGCTCCCTTGCTTTTACCGGCTCCGACATACAGTCAGCACACACAGACTCGGGCGCGGGTGGTGTGTGAAGGTGGGGCATGCGCAATCCTCTGCACGGAGGCTCGGCTACGGGCCTTACGACGGCGTTCAAGGCAGATGTGCTCCAGGCTGTGCGGGGACCCGAGGAGTTGCCTGTTCTCACAATGGCCTGCCAAGAATGTCGCCACTGGCCGGGCGACGCGGCGTGCTGGCTAGCTGAGCTCGGGTTTCAGGTGGTCCTTCAAATAATTGCTAGATCCCTGTTGCTGCTATTCCTCATGTTGAGCCTGGTGTACAAGTGCTGATGTGATGCAGCTGCAACTGTCACGGCGGATAAACTGGCAGGTGCTGCGTTGTCTGTCATCGCATTCGGGAGCGCCGCCGTGGACCGCAGGCCACGCGGCCTTTATTGGTCATATGGCCTTCATTGGTCACCTAGTGACCCCTCACAGCCCACACAAACGGTGTTGCGGACTAATACCATACTTTGTTGGTTTTCTGCCACAGCTGACCTGAGACACAAGTGTCGACCTGCTTTGCTGCACCGCAAAGCAGACACCCCGCCTCTGCACCGGCCAGTATCCTGTGTCTTACGCCTACTTGTGTGTTATATGAGGGCATAAACATGCAATATATACTCCTCAAAGAGTGTCTCCTTGCAGCTTCAACATAGCTGGGGTAGTGTGATGGTCAAGGAACTAGGCTTCTCTGCATGCTTCTCAGCAGCAGCTCAGCAGTGAGTCGGGCTGGACCAGACCAGCGTGAGTCAAAACCAGCATCACGATGGCTGGGCATGCGCGGACGCACTTCTCGCGCCTGTTTCAGGCTCTGTCACAATTCCCTCCCTCCCGCCCAGGGGAGAGCAGGTTCCTGCGGTAATCAGCTGCCTGCGCAGCTGGAGTAGACACTCGCCTTCAGGAACCCATTTTTTGGGGCCCACGGCCGTAGAGGCGAGTGTGTCCTACATCGTAGGCATGAAGCCTGTTGGCGCAGGTGCGCAGGAATGCATCGCGCGCGTGTCACCCGGGCTTGAAGACTAGATGTCGCAGCGCTCGCTGTCGAGCGCTAGTGTGCAGCGCGGCTGAGCTTCACAAAGTACGATCAGCTGTGGCTTGTATCCTGTGGCTTGTACGGCCCGTCGAGCCCTCACCACCGCCTATGCCTTAGCCCGTTGCCGACCCCCCCCCCCC